AATAGAAAAATGGAATATGTACCACTCGTAACCTTGAGCAATAACCTTGAGAAACTATTAGTTTTGCCAATAAGACTGTGGACTTTACGACTTGTTGGACTTGTGGTCGGAAGTGCAATGAGGTCATTTTGCTTTGGAAGGGTTTATTTGCTAAGAACCATCTTTCAATAGTTGAGAGAAATCAACTGATAGATGTCAGTACAAGTATTTCCTACACGAACCATTTTGTTAGGGGCCCCGTTGCTCAATCAAGCCTTAAATCCGTGCTTTTAATCAATGGTGTGTTCTCTGAATGATGTCTAATGCTGTAGACAATCTTCCCAAGGACAGTACAAACATGGAGGTGTGGTTGTCAAACTCAGGTTTGAACTGTTCAAAGCATTATAAACATTCATTTCATAACTAGGTTGTATAAGGATATTGGCTGTGATGAGACGACACTCCCCCCTTCCCTCAAATAATGAAATCGACTGAATCCCTCTTCCATTTAACAGACCCCTGTTGAAAGTGCATTGTGGTGGTAGTAGTGGGGGATGTGTTCCTTCATTGTATTGGGGCATTTTGTATTGCACTCATATTAAATGTGCCTTGAAATTTAAAAAAAAAAAAAGGTCATTGAATTATACCCATCGGCCTCCTTTTATACAGGCTCCAGGTCTATACGGTGCCACACCTTTCTACCTGTTTGGAACCTACTTTTTGATGCCCAGGTTGTGTGTGAGATGGGGGTGATGGGTTGGATGAGAGCGGCTGATTAAAGGAAGACCAGGTACAGGTAGCAAATTGGTTTCTAGAAAGCAAGATCTACTGTACATTTATACAGTAACTTTCCTTCAATTAATTCAAGGTAATTAAAAATTCCTAAATGGGCAAATTAACACGATCTCGATGGTATAGGAAACATATAGTGACATCTTTACTATTTTATAACGTACACAACTAAAGCTGTGCTAAAATCAGTTGTGGCGAAAAAAATTTTTAAATCAAGCTTTCTTCTCAGCATAAACCTCAAGTTGGAGGCCCAATTCATCATCTTGTTCACACGTTATTTCAATGGATGTGGAATAGTCTAAACAATTGGATAATGTCTATCTACCAGGATATATTCATCTTTGAGATTATGGGTTCTTTTGATCAAATCTACAATTCATTCAGACAAGACTAAGGGGCTAATAAGAATACACTGAACGGATGCTCATGGGCCAAGTCACCCACGCGGCCCTCTGAGCAACTGAACTAATTTTAGATGATGAGAAAAAATAAACAAACATCCACCACCACCAAACCAACCGTCCTGTCTCATTTTAGTAGTGCTTTAGATTTCATGTGAAAGCTTCCTTGAATCCTTTCTGGTCGCACCGTAACAGTGAAGGCCCTCAAGTGACCAAGTGATGCTTGATACTGTTCTGAGAACGGTCTCCATGTCCCGGTCCACACTTGATCGCTGAGCCCTTTCCTTGACTGTGGTATAAGCAGCCCTGGAGGTGTAGAGTGGGATACAAGCTGAGCTAACCAAAGTCAGCCCTTACCCCCAGCTACCGAAGGAAAAGGAAGAGGCTGCTGCTGCAGAATAAAGGAACAGCCTGGAGACCACAGGGGCAGCGCTGCACTGCCTAGAGGTGCAGTCAGAATGCACTCAGTCACAGTGAGCCACGGCTTTCTGGATTACACTGCGGATTCGTCTCAAGAAATCTCCTATCACCATTTAAGTCATAAAAAAGAACCAAGTTTTATATTATATACAAGTTTTATATTATGTATAAAATCATGCAAAAGGGCTTCAGAAAGTTCACAGGTAAGTTTTTCTATTAAGTCATAAAATGCTTGCTTGGGGCTTGGAGGGGGCAGTGTTCAATATTTTAAAAAAATTAGCATTTTGCATCTACCAAAATCTGAAGTGACACGAAACTTAAGATATGCAATTCCCGCTATGTTAAAATGAGTATAGTGTCTGATTATGTTTCTTCTGAAGTACAAAACTGGAAATTAAAATGCATTCTACACAAAAAGCAGTGGTAATTAATGGTACTTTGGTTCAACAACATAATATTCAGCAAAGTATTTTAATTAATTTTTATTTTATATATATATTTTAAAGGGTAGAATTAATATTTTATTGTCACTTACAATCAGATGGTAGCTGGGTATATATATAGTCTTCATACTTGATTGTTCTTTTTTGTAAATACAAAAAGCTTTACTCAACTGATGGCTGGTTACATTTTCAGGAAGCATCATTAACTCAATGGTAGCTTCATTTTTCTTAGTAGCACCAGAAAATTCACCCACCTTTGTCCCCTTTTATTAAACTGAAATGTTGGCGTGCATTTGACTTGACACTCTGAAGCAACATCCTGGCAGTCATCCACATCGACTTCAAGGAAGACCACATTGCCATACTTTGCACAGAGGGAAAGATAGAAAGGCCCACACCCCGAGGCTGAGAAGTGGAACACTCAAGCTTTTCTCCAGCACTGTTCAGGGCGGCCTGAGAATCTTCCTTGCTATCGATCTGCTTCACCATTTTGACCGTTGGGCTTTGATGAGCAACCAGGGTCACAAGAGGAACGGAAGGGCACCGGACTCAGCTTCATATATTTATCTTAATAGAGAATGCATTCCAATGATTACCAGACAATATTCTACAAGATACAAATTATTATGGGAGGCAGAGGGTTGCATGAACAAATCTCAAATTCCCTTAAGATATTGTTGCAAATGCTGAAAATGTGGCCATCTTTCATCTTTCAGACAGTCCCATGCTGGTAAGTGCTGGGGCAGGTCTTTCTTACAGGGTTGGGTCCTTTAAGAGGCTGGTGGGAGACACTTACTGCTTTTGTAGGCCGAGTCACAGACCCCTTGGCATCAGCTGGATCAGCCAGGGAAGCACACAGCTGGGAAGGACTAGTTATCCATCCATCCATCCTTCCTGATGACCCTGTCATGGCTCCCCTTATCTAGCTTTTGTCAATCTATTTGCAGATTACGGAGATTAGTGATTTTAGTCCCCAACTCCCCTATAAGTATACAAAGCTTAAAATCAAAATGCCTTCACTTCAGAGAAACTATGGTGTGGTCTTTGGTTAGCTCCCTCATTTTTCTGGGAAGAGCAAGATACCGTCATCTAGAAAGGGCACAGAAGGTAAAATTGAGGAATTTGTGTCAGCACTGTTGACCTGTAGCCAACAAAGTCACAATCTCTCTCTCGCTCTCTCTCTCACACACACACACAGCATGCACACACAGTGAATGAAAACAAAAACACCTTCTATTTCAAGTAACAGACCATGAGTCATGTGTTTGTACTTTTACAACGTAACTGGCTTGTACTTGTCTAAATGGGATTCTTTGCCAGAGACTCCACTCTGGGAGAACAAACCTGGAGAACTTGCAGGAAGTAGGAAGCTCAGTCCCATGTTCGTAGGCACAGGGCCAGAGTCCAAGAAATTTTTCCCATAAGCGGCTTGGTTTATTCTTATTCTATAGGCAAAAACCGAGGGCTGTTATGCAACCTTTAGCTACCTAGTACCCTGAAGTGTTCTGTGCTTTAAACTCACCCATTCTCTCCTTCCCAGTTCTCTCTCATTAAAACTTCCTTTCTTGGGAGTCTACTTAATACATCTCAAAAAATCCACTATAGTTGATTCTAACAGTAATTCTATACAACAGGGTAGAACTGCCCTGTGACTTTCCAAGACTTTAACTCTTCATAGAAGTGAAAAGCCCCGTCTTTCTTCCTCTCAAGGAGCGCTGGTTGTTTCAGGCTGCTGATCCTGAGGTTAGCAGCCCAACACAACCACACCACCAGGGCTCCTCAGTAATGGTCTCTTAAGTAACCCACTAAGGAGCCAATGGCCAGACAGGGAACCTCCCTCTCAGAAGATGCCTCTCCACGTCCCCACCCATTTCTTGGGGTAGTATCATAAAGGAAAATGGCACTGCACAGGGTGTTATGGTTCAAGTAGATGCTTTAAAAAAAAAAACACAAACAAACCTAAACTCGCTGCCATCAAGTCGTTTCTGGCTCCCAGTGACCAAAACAAAAACAAAAACGGAGTAGAACCATTCCCCAAGGTTCCTGAGGCTGTGGACCGTTACAGGGGCAGACCGCCAGAGTGAACTGTGAGTCTGCACTGCAGACTCCCATTAGAGCCCAGTGCTCAGCCCACCACACCACCAAGGCTCCTTAGATCACACGTTTGAACAGCCACACTCACTGCCATCAAGTAGACTCCAACTCATCGTGACACTGAGAATGTGTAATTATATTATCAAACATAAGTAATTGACTATAGGATAATATTTACTTTGGGTAAATTACCATGACATAAAAATATATAATAAAATCTGCTAAGAAAACGTTAATGGACTAATTGATGCCTGAAAATTCTCTTAAATAGAATAACACGACTCTCTCTCTCATACTCTCACTCACTCACTCACTCTTACACTCACTCATTTTCTCATTCACTCACTCTCTAATTCACTGACTCTCTCACTGACTCTCTCACTCTCCACTCTCTCTCACTCAATCTCTCACTCGCCCTCACTCACTAATTCACTCACTCTCATTCACTGACTCTCACTCTAATTCACTCACTCTCATTCACTGACCCACTCTCACTCACTCACTCTCTCACACTCTCTCATTCACTCATTCACTCTCATTCACTGATTCACTCTCTAATTCTCACTCTCACTCACTGACTCACTCTCTCTCTAATTCACTCTCTCTAACTCACTCACTCTCTCACTCAATCTCTC